TTTTCTATTCTGCGCACTCTTCAAGATTATTGCAGTAACAGTGGAGAAGATTTTATAGGCGAAACTCGAGGAGCATCTCCTTGTAAAAACCTTCACTTTGCAAAAGCATAACTTGATTTGGAGTATAGCTGAGTTGCACAAGCACTGCTCCTAGTGTAGCCCATAGTCGACTGAGCAGTACCGCTAACTGATTTCATCAAACTCTTTCATAAAAATTTTGTGTTGAAAAATCCGAAAGGACCCACTTATTTTGCTCTTTAAGGCGGCAAAAAACAATTTTTTGACATTTTTAGTTTTGTTCGTCGTTGACAAACCAGGAAATCTTTTCGTTCTTCTAATAGCAGTTGTTCTAGCTCTAATCTACCATGTAGAGTAAAAGTTCCGCGATTGCAATATGTTTGTGATTTTTATGCGACTTGAAGGGACCATAAAGGCGGCTATGTTTGAGATCAAAATTTGTGGGTTCAAACTTTTTTCTGAAATCATATCTTGATGAGCGTTTCGTAGCACAGTTCTTCAGCAAACATTACGTACGTTTTAAAGGAAATTATTTCTTTTGGCTGTAGATTTCACGGCGGTGGAGCAAAGACGAAAATTTTTACATTTGTTTCGCTGTCTTTTCAAAGTACGCAACCACACAGCGAACAAGATCTATGAAAGTGAAAATGTGCCTGAAGAACTAAAAGAAAAGAGCTTTTGAACGATATAAGCACAGTTTACAAAAAAGGTTTCTTTCTCCAAAATCAGTAGTTCAGAAAAAAAGGTACCGAAAACGGGCAGAACTTTTGAAACAACTCATTATCTCGGCATAGGTAAATATAGTTGATTCGCTGACCGCACGGACTGGACATCACTGCGGTGCACGCACGGGTTCAGCACTTGCCCTAGTTTAAATGTCCGAGAGTAGGCTTTTTGTCTCGCGAGCAGATGACTTGGTACTTTTTTCGATTATTACCGCATTCTATACATTATGGGGTGGATCAGTGTAAAGTTTATGCAGAGTTTCGCCTTTGATTGAGCAATTAAAACTTGGCGTGGCACAACCGCGATCATATCTGCGGTTTGGACCAGCATACGTTTCAAACTTCGAGGAATGTCTAAGACCGAAAATAAATTGTTCAGACCTTTTCCACGGACATTGCCTAATGCTCTACACTTCGTCGCTAATAAGCAGCATGGAAAAACAAATTTTCTTGTTGAGCGCCGAAGTTTCCTCATGAGTTTTGTGAGAAGAGTTACGCCACCAGAAATCGTTGTTTTATGCGTGATGGCTAGTGATTCTTTTCCTTTCTGAACAGCTGCAAACTTTTGAGGCTGTTCGCAACACATTTCTTAAGACAGCGTTCTTCATATGTTGGGTAAGAAGAAAGGAAGTGGATAAGAATACTCTTTAACACGTTTCGGATCGGTGCTGCACATGGTGCAGCACGCTGCTTTGAAGGATCTTTCTGACTTTTACAGGAGGTTTTCTTTTAGTCTAAGGTTATCAAGTCAAAGGCCTAAGCTCCTACTTTTCGAATGACTCTGTAGAGCTGTGCCGCCGATATTCGTTTAGGAGATATGAGGACAAATCCAACAGCAGTTGCAACGAAGTGCAGCGACGCGAACGCCGCGTGCCGCCGCAACTTTTCTTTGCTTCGATTTCAAAGAGAAAAGCCGTAGTTTCGATAATGATGTGTACCGTGTACAACACAGATACTTTTGAATACTATTTAAAAATGAGTTCTTAAACCTAACTTTCAAGAAAGCACCAAAGTCCTTCAAGCGACAAAATTCAACTCAGACATTCGCCGTTGTCACCCGCAGGTGGACCGCCCACAAAATGGCTGATCGCACCAAAACCCGGTGCACCGTCGGGGGACATGAATTTAGTTTTGACCGGATTTTACTGCGATTTTGCCCCAATGCACGCCGCATGCGTGTATGATAGTGATGTTGCGAAATAGTCGTCTTCTCTTGGTGATTGCTTTTTATTGATTGGTGCCTTTTTCTTCAGTGTTTTTGCTTTCATTCTTTCTTATACATCGCTTTTAATCGCTCCTTGGGATCATTTGTGTTCTTTCATAACATAAACTTGTCATTATACCAGACCTACTCTATCTTAATCATACTTAATGGTGCCTTTTGATTCAATTTCGCTTATTATTTTTCCTTAATTTTACCAGCACATCAATAAAAGTGGGGTCACCGTTTCCGTAGGACATCGATTTGACGGTTTGTCAGTTCAGATGAGATCGCGCGTCCAAAATGGCAACTTCACTTGCAATCTCTGTGCTGACGTTGTAGATCGAAGGTAAGCATTTTCTTCTCAATTCAGTAGGTTACTTCAGGACTCCTTCCAACTCAGCAAATTTGCGGAGTGCAATTTTGTGAGCATAGACTCAAATTGTTAACCACAAGCCTGATTTGACTAAGTTTCAAGCCAACTACAAGCTTAAACAAACTTGAGATATCGTAATCTTGTGTCGGGTTCAACAAACCGTTGAGGCGTCGCTAGCTAGCTAAAATCTGTCAAAACATGTAACTTACTATCTATTACTTATTGTGGGTAGCTTCAAGCTGACACGTGCAGAACAAAAATTTGCGAAAACGTCATTTTACGAGAAAATCTTTATGACACAATACTTTTCCAACAAAAAAACAGTTTAGCGCCCGAAGTATTGTCATAATTCGAAAAATGTGTTTTTATAAGAAAATTTCTCCTGCAGAATGGGCTTTTCCATAGCTTGTTTTCGCAGTTTCACAGAAGTAAGACCGGCTGCAGCCGTATATGGACTGCTGCTGTGTAAAAAAATTTACTCAAATTTATTTTCATGCAGGAAACAAAGAGCTAAATCTGGGTGTAAAATGCACGTTTGGTACCCGTACCCCATCAGATCTTTGAATTCCCGTCAAAGTCAAATGACCAGCTATGGCTCTGGCTTCCGGCCTTGATAAGAGAATTTATTCTCTTCAGAGAAATTTCCACAATGCATGCAATGGTTTTTTGCGGACTTTCGTCCACGGCTCTCGTTGGGTCACTTTTTGGCAAGTCTGTGGTCCGTATTTGAAAGAGGGGTCATTTTTCTCGCAGATAGACCAGAAAGAGAATTCGTGGGATAAAGAATGGGCAAGCTAGAAGGCGAAATCCTGCTTGTTCAAATATGGCTCACATGAAGTTTGATGGGCTGCTAAAATCCATTCTTTGCTCTATTTTATACATGTTTCGATGGTAGTCGTCTTCTCCACATTCTTTTGTTCCATTGTGGTCCTTTCTGACTTCGTTTCTTACTTAAAAGTGATCTAGCTCAAATTTTAATTAACACGTTGACGACCGCTTGACACACATGGTGTGTCAAGGCTGATACACCATGTGTGTCGTTGAAATGGCTACTATTTTGTGTTGAACTCACTCCGGGAGTTTTCTTTTGTACTTGATCTAAACACAACCTCTACTGTTTTTGTTAGCATTCCAACGTTACTGTAGGTATACTGTAGATGGAATTGTGCGTGATTTTATTCAGAAAATGTTGACTGGTTCATAAAACGCCTTAGTCGTCAATGTGTTAACCAGCCGCTGTAACCCGAAAATCGCAATTTTTCGAAATTAACGAGTATCAGAAGCTGTTTGAATTTTGGCATGATGAGGCAACAATCCACGCCGAAAAGAAGAAATCGCAGTTGTCAAAACCCATCTTTCAAACACGAAAAAAATGATATTCAGTTTTCTAACTCGCTCAATCATAATCCCACAATTGCTCTTGTCTGTATAACCGAAAAAAGAAAGTCTGCTTTTTAAAACCCAGCCCGATTGAGGGTTTTGGATATGAAATGAATCAACGAAAGGCATCGTATTTTTAGGAGCTGAACTTGACTGAAATCTTAAAACGGAAGAGATCGGCTTGCGCACATAAACATGATCATTTTCTGCATTTTCATCATGTTTTTGATTTTCTTAGGCACTATTTTGTCAATGCAAGGGATCACTGCTGAACGAATTCTTGCCTTACACATAATTTTTTGGACTTGTGAATCGGCAGAGGAACTCAAAAGTATGCATGTAGGCAAACTGGCAAAAAAGGAAAAAAATGACCATTCAAGGATCTCCCGGAAAGCACTGTAGATTTCCTAATAAGTAGGTTGTTCCGTCATTTTGTGCATCAATTCGAATAATTTATTCAGGGTTTGTGTTGGACGCTTTTGGCCTACCGGACAAAGAACTTCTACAATTTGCACAAGAATGCGAAAAGGCGTCAAAGGTAAAACTTTCGTCTCAAAAAGTTTACGCATCTGATACTGATGTTTTTCAGAAGAACCGGCCCAGGACATCTAACGTGAGCACTGACTTGAACATCATCGAAAAAACGGACTCCGACAATACAGTAACCGATGCGAACGACACACATTAGTCCAATTCCAGTTGTTTTTTGTTAAGTGTTCTCTCGATGTAGTTTATTTGATTTTGCGCTGATGTAGATTTTTCTGTACCTGAAGTTTTTAATAAATACTATGGCTTGATTTGTTAGGGACAGTGAAAGATGACAGCGCGGTAGACGTGAAACACATCAGTATAGAGTATGTACTCTATACTTGTGTGTTCCACTATATACTTAATATTTAATATATATATACCACTATATATGTACCCATCAGGGTGAACCGCTGCTTTAAGGATCGGGGCATTATGGTGTCTCCCGCAGGTCACTCTGATAATATTATATTATGCTTGTTGAAGTATAATATTTATTATAATTGTCAGCGAATAAATATCAAATGGCTCTTGCTTTTGGAGTCCTGTCGATTTCTCACTTTGAATCGATGGTCGCGACTTTTCTTGGTCGTGACCTACTGATTGCGCGATTGATCTATTCGATCCATCGCGCTCCCGCCAATAGGCGTCACCGAGCTCGACTCGGATGTATCCTCAGTTTGCTGAGGGAGTGCGAGTAGCTAGCGTCCCCGGCTAAGTGAACTACTCGTGCAGTACGGATGACTACAGCTGCAATTCAGCATGTAGAGGAAACGCATGAACATTTATTAGTCAACCCGAACGAACATGTTATACATCTATTGCTGAGGTAGCAGAATCCTACTGAGGTGATGGCAAAGCTATTTCTCCTTTCTTTTCTCGTTCTTGAACAATTTCTTGGCTCTCAGTCTGTCTTGCGTTTTATCGCGAACCGACGATGTCGACGCGTTTTCGGCTCTGCTTGTGCTGGGCTGTGTGTGCGACCTGTAAGAAAGAATGTTATTTTCGGGCGGATCGCGGGAGGGCTTTGATCTTTATTCGCTGACAATTATAATAAATATTATACTTCAACAAGTCTTGCATAATATTAGGTTGAACCGAAAGTTCGTTCGCACCATTTTCAAAAAATCATAACTTCTTTCCGTCACGACGATTTTGCGCATTTCAAGTTTTATTAGAAAGCGTAAAGCATGTAGTTTCCAATAGTCCCCTGGCGACTTTCCAGCATGTTCAGATTGCAGAGATAAAAATGAAAGAACGAAAACATCCGAAATTCGGAATTTTTGAGAAACAATTCCGAAAATCTAGAAACTGCGCGATAAAATCCAGAAAAGCCATTATCCTAATTTTTCTTATATTTGATTATTAACTGAGTTAAGTTTGTGCTGATCGAGCTCTTCTTTTAAACGTTATGATTTTTTGAAAAAAAATTCCGAAAAATCACTTTCCTAAGAATTCCTAAGAAATTGATTTTTCGGCATTTTTTTTCAAAAAATCATAACTTTTGAAAGAAGAGCTCGATCAGCACAAACTTAACTCAGTTGTTAATCAAATATAAGAAAAACTAGGATAATGGCTTTTCTGGATTTTATCGCGCAGTTTCTAGATTTTTGGAATCGTTTCTCAAAAATTCCGAATTTCGGATGTTTTCGTTCTTTCATTTTTATCTCTGCAATCTGAACATGCTGGAAAGTCGCCAGGGGACTATTGAAAACTACATGCTTTACGCTTTCTAATAAAACTTGAAATGCGCAAAATCGTCGTGACGGAAAGAAGTTATGATTTTTTGAAAATGGTGCGAACGAACTTTCGGTTCAACCTAATATAATATTATAATTGCAGCTCTAAATATCAAATGGCTCGTTCAAATCACCTTCGGAGAATCATCTCCTGAAAGGAGGGCTCCGAAATTTCTCTGTGATAGAACTTCTGGAAGGTTGTGCTTCCTGAAGCCCAGCATGCCGCACGCATAATAGTGGGCAGAGTGGCGCCCATCAGCTGAGCTTTAGAAGTGCTGGCCGAACGCGTGGAATGAGCCTTATAGTACGTGGTATCTACCCCAGCTTGATCTAGGAAGATTCTAATCCATCTTGCCACAGTTGCGGAACTGATACGCTTGTGTGGATACGTGTAGGATAGCAACAGCTGTTGTTCCCCCCGACGCAAAACTGTGGTCCTTTCAATGTACTCACTAAGAGTAGCTATCGGGCACAGTGTCTTGTCTGCGAAATAGCTCTCATATACGGCCGTTTGCGGAGGCCCTGCTCTTCTCGTCTTGTTCCTGTAATCGAGAAAGAAGGTCCACCTATTGGGCTGTTTATGCATCGCCTCCAAGGACAGCGATGCTATTTCCGACACTCTCTTTGGAGAACACAGTGCTAGGAGAGTAGTCAATTTGAGAGTTAGGTCTTTCAGTGAGAGCGTCTCGTTTGATCCTAGCTTGTGGATATACCTTAGCACCTCGTCTACACTCCAGGTGGAGGTATAGCGTGGCCGAGGGGGTTTAGATCGAAAGCCTCCCTTCATTAGGCGTGATATGGTCAGGTCGGAGGACCAGTTGAAACCATAACACAGGTCACTAACTGTGCATATAGCGGCCTTATAAGAGGCTACCGTTGCATACGTCAGCCCCGAGCTCAGCTGTTCCGCTAAAAAATTGCAAACCAATGTTGGTGTCGCAGTCTGAGGCGAGACCGTGGAATGCTTCAGATAGGAATTCCACTTCTTGAGTGCGGACTCATACTGCTTGTGAGTATTGGGAGCCCAGCTGGCCATGAGCAAATCGACTGCATGGCGTTGGAGCCCTGAAGCGGACCACTTCTGGGAGAGATGCTCCAGGCTAAGAGGTGGAAGTTCTTTTGAGCAGTGAGGGGGGTGCGATCTCCCTACTGTGTCTGTGATGATTGGGGCTTCTGACACAAGGCACCATGGTAGAGACTTTGCATGTCTCAGTGCTATGGGGAACCAGGGCTGAGTTCTCCAGAGGGGAGTTACGAGAAGGAGGGTTGCTCCTTCGTCGACCGCTTTTCGTATTACCACACCGATGAGGTTGAATGGCGGAAAAGCGTATCCGAAGATCCCCGACCAGTTCTGAGCGAAAGCATCGACTTTCAGTGCTCCTGGATCATAGTTGTATGAGTAATAGGCTTCCAATTTTTTATTGAGCCTAGAAGCGAATAAGTCTACATCCGGATACCCGAATGTTCTAAACAGGGTTTTGGCCATATCTGCATCTAGGGACCACTCAGAGTTTTCATGATGGAAAACTCTAGACTCCCGATCGGCTAGACTATTTAGCGTGCCCGGACGATATGTGGCTGACAGACGAATGTTACGTTCTATCGCCCACTTGCTCATTTCTCTAGCTATGAGTGTCATAGCTATATTAGTTGTGCCTCCCTGTTTCTTGATATAAGCGATAGCAGCGGTGTTGTCCACTTCCATCAATATGTCGACATCGTGCCAATCCCTGGCAAAGGACAGAAGACCGAAGTAGGCAGCTCGCAACTCGAGCGTGTTTATATGCGCCTCCGCCTCTTCTGAAGACCAGCGACCTCCGGTCTTCTGTCCGCAGCATATCGCCCCCCATCCTGACTTTGACGCATCGGTTGTGATGATGACGTCAGGGGAAAATCTGGTAAAGGATGAGGAAGCCACATGTTGGAACCCCTGTGCAAACCAGCACAGGTCTTTCTTGCCCCCCTCAGACAAGGTCAAGAACGCCTCATAGGTGGAGTCATCGTGGGGGTTTACGACCACAGCCAAGTCGTGTTGCAGAATCCGCGCCATATGCATGGCCAGCGGGGAAGCAACCGCTGCGAAATTTATTCTTCCCAAAAACTGAGAGAGATCTCGAGCCTTCACCTTCTCCTGCGCTGCCAACGATCTGGCTTCGTCTTGAATACAGGCTACTTTGTTGCTGGGTAACGCAAATCTCATGGCTACAGTGTCTATATCCATGCCCAGAAAATGCAGTTTCTGTCCTGGTGTAAGGACCGACTTCTCGGTGTTGACCCGTAAACCTAACCTCGCAAACACCTTCAGGGCGTAGCGCGTGTACCGGATGCACTTCTGTCTGCTGCCGGCAAAAATAGCTCAGTCATCCAGGTACATTATCAGCCTAATGCCCTTAGATCGCAGGTGCTGAGCCACTACGCGCATGAGCTTTGTATAGATATACGGGGCCGTAGCCAGGCCGAAGGGCAAGCAAGTAAAGTAATAAATGTCCTTCTTCCACCGAAAGGCTAGGTAAGGCCTAGATCTTTTCTCAATATTGACGGCGAAGTACGCGTCACTCATGTCAATCTTGACGCAATAATCCCCTCTATATACCACATCCGCAACGAGATGCAGTCCTTCCATTTTGAAGTGAGGGATCCACAGGTACTTGTTCAGAGATCTGAGGTTTATCACCGGTCTTGTCGACCCATCCCTCTTCGGAACTCCGAACATGTTGGACAGCCACACGTGTGTGTTGCGAGCAGCCTTACATATTACCCCCTTGGTGAGTAGTTCACTTAGCGCGGGGTCGATGCTGGGGGGTGAATGCTGTGCGGCCATCCAGTCTGAGGGTAAGCGCGTGCGGGGCTTCGCCAGGAAGGGCAGAGAGTAACCCTTCACCGCAGCTAGCACATGTGGGTCAGTGGTCACCTTTCCCCAATTTTGTGCAAAGTCGGCCAATCGACCTGCAATCCGGTCGGAGCTAATCTTGGCCAATACTAACTTTTTATTGTTTGGGGGATAAAGCGAAACAGAGAAAACCGACCTTCTTTTCCTTGTATCAGGCCTGTCTCTTCTTCGTGATCTTTGGGCACGCAGTTTCTGCACGGACTTCAACAAGGCACTTTCCCCCGCGGCCAGTTCGTCCCTTAATTCGCGTCCGAACAGTTCCGGATGTACTGCTTGGGACATGCGGTGTACCACTGTGGTCCCGGCAAGCGGAAGTCTTCTGTAGGAAGGCATGGCCTTATAAGGGTCCAGTCCGAGGGACCTCAACACTCTTTCTCTCCTGAAGACAATGATGTCACGTAAGGAGGCTGAAAGGAGGGTGGTAGCAATGTCGAAATATCCAATGACGGAAGGATGGAATTCTGTTCCTGCTCCGTCAGCTCCTAACTTTCGTACCAGCTCGATTATATTGATGGTGTTGATGAGGGTTTCGTTTAGACCGCGTAAGTCTGTCTCCCGAAGCTGAATGGACCTCTCAACCTCCCTGGGAAGTTGGTCGTCCAACATCGCTACTTCTGCGAACGGTGAGGAGACGAGCGGCACATCTTTCAATATGGCTATTCGCTCACTGCTTGACATCTGCATCCCGGCCGCCACTTGGTCAAATCGGCGCCTAGCCTCCTCAGTGAGGCTTATCCTGATGCGCTGAGTCCTCTGCGGCACCGCAGGTGGGGCGGGTATTTCTTCTTGTGCTGAAGCGAATTCATCCCTGCGAGGTATTCTGGGGAGCCCCAATAAGGGGGACTGGTAGTCCACGCCTGGCACGGGTCCTTGACGGTCCAGCTCTCCTTCCTCTGGGGGATCTGGCGACGGAGAACGGGAGCTCGATCGACCGGATGACTCGCTGGACGACGTGCTGCTTGAACGCGAATGACGGCTACGTTCGCGGTCGCTCGATCTCGAACGAGAGCGACTCATCTGCAACACCAAAAGTCAGTAAAGGTTTTAATCCTAGGACTGACTTGTATGTGTGGTTCGCCGGCCGGGGCCCAGGGCTAAAACCGGCGTAGAGACGAACCATATCCATGGAAAAAATCGAATTCAAAAAAAAGCGAGCGGACAGGAGCGCTCACAAAAGCAAACTGAGGATACATCCGAGTCGAGCTCGGTGACGCCTATTGGCGGGAGCGCGATGGATCGAATAGATCAATCGCGCAATCAGTAGGTCACGACCAAGAAAAGTCGCGACCATCGATTCAAAGTGAGAAATCGACAGGACTCCAAAAGCAAGAGCCATTTGATATTTAGAGCTGCAATTATAATGACCGGAGAATGCCCTGTCGGGGCATTATGGTGTCTCCCGCAGGTCACCCCGCTGCAAACACAGGTGACCTGATTTTGCCCCGACACCGATTTCGTGTGACGCGCCGTTGGTCAATGAGATCACACCATTTTAACCTGCGGGTGACAACCGCGAATGTCTGAGAAGCACTTCGAATTCATTCAGAACTTTGGGTATGGAGCTTATCTGACATGCTGATTACAGATGTAGCCCACAGTCTACAAGTATGGTCCCTTTGTTGAAAGTACACTCTTTTTCGCCGCGCGCGATTTCGCGGTCCGAAACGTGTTAACTTGCTTTTCTGTACCATCTCGTTGTGTGAATGTCGTTGACGACGTTAAAAGGCAGGTAGACATTCAAAATCGGCAGTCACTTATATGTTGGTTTACAGCTAAGCTTTATGTGTTCTGGTTAACGACTAAGTTAAGTTCAAAGCATTTATTATTTGTGCTTGATTATTGCGAATGATGAAGCAATCGCTGATTATCGACAATTGCGGGTGATGCAGGACTGTTTCAGTCTTGGCCAGTAGTGGTTATAAGAGCTAGTACTTGCTCACGTGTAAAAGATATTTTCTTGACTATCCAAATGCATTCTTTCTAGACGTGCTTTCATTAAAGTCGAAATTAGGACGATGGCAAATCCTAAAACTTAACGTTGTTTATGTTCTGAGTAAGAGTAGATCGAGAACGCATTGCCGAGACATTGGACACGTATATGTTAAAAGGTTGAAAAGTTAACGTCAAATGACTTTATGGCACGATAGTATCAATGTTCTTTCGTGAGCGGTGCAGAAATATCTGTGTGTAGGCCAGATGAAAAGAAATAAATTGAAGCAACTGTGTTACATAGCGTTTAGGAATTATTACCCTACCTTATCTGTCGAACCCCCACGCAAGTGACTATCGCTCTCGCGGTTGCGGGAGAAGGGAGTTCAATTTGTCCTTTTTTATACGTAATTTGAAGCACTAGGCAGCCTAATGAATCGGTTCTGAGGCGCTCGATTACTTCATTTACCCTATTTTCAGGTGTATAAGCCGCACCCTTTCTGCTCTAAACGCGAGCAGACCCAGGCGTGCCGCCGCGCATATGTCTCGTGAAGCGGTGGCCTTATCGCATACTGCTCTCACTTAACGCGCTCCATGACGACAGTCAGTCTTTTGGCGTGTTTGCCTTTAGAGTGAAAAGGGTGCGGCTTATACACCTGAAAATAGGGTACATGATTAGCTATTTTACTGCCTTCTGCCTGTTCAGCTTGCGGCATTCTTTCCAAAACTTGATTGAGGATTTCTGATGTAGATTTGGCCTTATGAATGTTCCTCTGTAGGCGAAAGCACATTCAGTGGAGAAACTATTAGGTTGTTACATAAGTCTTGTTACACTTAACTTCTAACGGCGATAAGTCATACACCTCATAGTCTTTGCAGGACTCCAAGGTACCATTCGATAGAGCAAAGCAAGCTCTACAAAATGGTCTGCAAAAGTTCGCACCAGCTCCGACCCACCGTAAAATTGCACCCAAAATCTGAGTCGTACTGAAATTCAAAAAATCGCGAAAAATTCATATTTTTGTTCAAACAAATCCTACGGATCTGCAACTTGCTCACAAAAATTGCCCACTATATCAAACACTCATACGTACCGTTGCTGTATCTTTTCCTCATCTAGAAATCGAGAAAAAGATTTTTTTCTAATTTTTACAAAAACGAAGCTATGCTGTTTCTATTCATGTAGCTGTATACTACAAGCTCTTAGAAGTATGACCGTAAATTTTCAGCTTCCCAGGAGCCCTAGTTTTCGAGAAATATCAAATTTAGCTTCAATCACTCGGGTGTTCAATGCTAAATTAGGTATTTCTCGAAAACTAGGGCTTCTGGGAAGCTGAAAATTTACGGTCATACTTCTAAGAGCTTGCTACAGCTACATGAATAGAAACAGCATAGCTTCGTTTTTGTAAAATAAAAAAATTCTTTCTCTCGATTTCTAGATAAGGAAAAAATACAGCAACGGTACATATGAGTGTTTGATATAGTGGGCAATTTTTGTGAGCAAGTTGGAGATCCGTAGGATTTGTTTGAACAAAAATATGAATTTTTCGCGATTTTTTGAATTTCAGTACGACTCAGATTTTGGGTGCAAACTTACGGTGGGTCGGAGCTGGTGAGAACTTTTGCAGACCATTTTCTAGAGCTTGCTTTGCTCTATCGAATGCCTTGGAGTCCTGCAGAGACTATGAGGTGTATGACTTATCGCCGTTAGAAGTTAAGTGTAACAAGACTTATGTAACAACCTAATAGCACAAATTCTCTTTTCTTATCACCCGTAGATGATCGCACTTTAGCAATTTCACCACCTCTTCCATAATTTGTATGCCTTTTGGCATTGATAGTGTTGAAACGCATTTTTTCTGCATTCTCATGTTCTGAAAATTTTTTCACCAAATAATTGAGTTTATGTCTTCATTGTAGCTTGCTTCTTACTGCTCGAGAAACGACTGTCATGGCTGGCACCTACTGGAACCAATGAGTTTTCACGAAATTTCTCTAAATTGTCAAATTTTACGGACCTTCACCAATCTTTCCAACCTTTTTTCCCTCCACCAAACTTCCACTTCATCCTGCTCCTTCACTCCCTCTCTCCCTACTTCACCTGTTATTCCCTCTTCATAAGAGAATGAAAGCAGAACTTATGAGTTACACATCAATTTGAAGAAAAACGAAAACTGAAAAAAGCAAAAGATGGCACCGAACATTTGATAAGAATGGAATCATTTTCTCATTTATGCATACAGACTTTGGCACTTGCGCCGTTCGGGCGGCCGGCGATGACCTTACAAACGCTCGTTGATGTGTGTTTTTGCGGTCGTCAAGGGACAATTGTATGGGTAAGGTGTGGCGCACGTACGGTACTATCGCTCGCCGCTTGCGCGGGGGAGATGGGCCGCTCGCTCACTGTTAGGGTAACGAGATACCTTGATCACTTCTCTTTGGGTATGTTAGTCTTTACGACCGAGAACATGGATGGATCGTTCAGCATTGGCCCAACAGTTTATAGCGGGAGTATATACACTCACACTCTTGACCTGCTTGAACTCATAGACTTTCCTCGAGTTCCTGGTTAATGAAGATTGCTCTGCTGATACAGACATATCACATCAAGGGCAGCCTAAACGCTGCGTCATATCCAGAGGTGCGATAGTGGAAGCCGATTCTCCCCCTATCTTCACTTTTGAGCTGGTACAGGGTGACCACCTTCACTTTTGGAATAAAAATTTTTTTTTCGCTGGACGATAAAGAAGAAAATAAGCGAAACAAATGCAAAAGAGATCATTGAAAGCATATATTTATGTATACAGCGTCATAAATATTTGAAATAACGTGCCTATTAAATAGTGTATTTAGAAGCAAAACTCAGCGGAACTGTACATATTTTATTAACTAAATTTTGTTATAATGTACAGCGAAGAAAGTAGATCGATCCAGGCAGTAACGGCCGATAACCAGAGTTTTGAATAATTTAGTGAAAAATCATGCGAAATTTCCACTGTTATTTCTGTTGTTTGAAGATGTCAGCAGTTGCGACTTCATAGGTTTCAAAGAGTAATGGTGCTCTATCAGATAATGAAGAATTGAGTCGATTTGAAAGATAGTCATCAAAAACCAGATTTCTAAATATTTACGCCATTTTTGCGTGTTTTTTGACAGCTGACAGTTAAACTTATATAAATCTTGAATGTGAAAGTGCATGATGTTGCGACTCCTAGGTTAGATTCTTCTCATCAAGAGCTTTCGATATATAATACGTGGGGGTTTGGAGCCTCCTACGAATTATGCCCTGGGGGGAGGAAATTTTTCATACCAAAGTCTCCCCTGGCGGCCTACCTCCAATACATTAAAGTGAGCTGGGGGAGACTTGGATATAAAAAGTCTCCCCCCTGGGCATAATTCGTAGGAGGCCCCAAACCCCCACATATTATACACCATCTGAAAGCTCTTGATAGGAGAATCTAACATATGAAGTCTCAACATGATTCATATAATTCTGTAGAAGTTATGAGCTTTGAATTTCAAAAAGCGCTTTTTACCTGCTTTTACAAGACTCTGTATCTCGGCGCTGTTTCAATGGATTGATACGGCTAAAATATATTCTGATAAGGCAGACCTTACTCTACAAAACCTATGGAGTCGCAACATCATGCACTTTCACGTTCAAGATTTTTATGAGTTTAACTGTCAGCTGTCAAAAAACACGCAAAAGTGGCGTAAATTTTTAGGTGGTTCTCGATGACTATCTCTCAAATCGATTCGATTTTTCACTATCCGATAAAGCACCATTTACTTTTCAAAACCTAAGAAGTCGCAACTGCTGACATCTTCAAACAACAAATTTATAACAATGAAAATTTCGCAAGATTTTTCACTAAATTATTCAAAATTCTGGTTTTCGGCCGTTACTGCCTGGATCGATCTACTTTCTTCGCTGTACAATATAACATTAATTAATAAAATACGTACAGTTCCGCTGAGTTTTGTTTCCAAATACACTATTTGAATTAACACGTTTAATTTAGATATTTATGACGCTGTAGACATAAAAATATGTTTTCAATGATTCCTTTTGCATTTGTTTTGCT